CTGCTCAAAAAAAATTTTTAATCCCGGCGAAACGTTCAGTTTAGTTGTGTAAAATCAATTTCCATAAAATTATTCGTATTTTAATAGAACGGGAGACAAGCACGATCAATCATATTACTCGTTTTTTATAGGACAGCAATATTGAAATTTAATACTCGACCGACCAATCTCATATTACTAAAAACTCTCTTTTTCTTTGATTCGGGGATTAAACGTGTTTTTGCCATCATAATCAAAAATATTAGCCGTCATAATATTAATTATGCTATAGATCTTTTTCTTTTTTATAAAACTTTCTGGATTCATCCATTATTTTTCAACACTTGTATCTTTAAATTTAAAAGTTTCACATACGCATTTTCGAAGAATTCTCGGAATAATCGAACTTTTGATTTTTGCATACGACGCAACAAATTTCTATTTTATTACGCGAAGAGCATGCAGAGAAATACATCGTGATTTCGCAAAATTGATGTCTCGAGTTTGTGCGTATTCTTTCTTCGAGTTTCTTCTTTCGAGGCTCGTCCTTGAAAAACAAGCAAAACTAAACTTCGAAGCGGAAATTCCATTCGTCTGGCGCGCAGACGAATGAGCTGGCGGCAATTTCGAGCGGATTCCGAATTCGCAACTCACCGCTTCCGGTTTCGCCTTTCCCGATCCCGTTTCCTGCGAAATAGCTCAGCCAATCCGAGCACCTCGTCTACACGAAAATCTAGTTGCAGAGAAAACTTTGTCGTTCCGCCTGATACATTGCTGCAGACTTTCTTTCCATAGCGAAAGCCAGTTAATTCGTCTTCGATTCTACTATCGACAACATTATTTTTGCCGTTGAAAATTTATCGAGATATCTGGCAAATAATTATAGTAGTAAAAATCAAGAGTTATAAGATAAGATGACAAGTTTTAGAAAGGGAATATTTAGTTTCCTGTGTTTCCCGTTCATAAAGGTATTTCTTCTTTTTTTTTTTTAAATAAATCGTCGTACGTACGATTAAATCGTCCGCTTCTATCCGATGCAATGGTCCATCGTCGACTCCAGATGGAAGATAAGCGAACTTTCTGTCGCGTATCGATCCGAATTCCGATTCAATTTTCTACGTTCTCGATGTACACGGCGAAATGCCATGCATTTCGAGATATAAGACGCACAATACACGATCTAATCTACAAATGTACGACGAGTGAATCGACATTGACACAAATGAGAATTTTATCTCAAAATATCGCCCGATAATTTCAATTAATGAAACAATTAAATAAAAACGATAATTTTATCAAGGTATTTTTAACGATATTAAAAATATATCTAATCGGTATATCACTTTTCCCTCTCGAAATTCAACGATTCATTCATTTTCGAATCCATATCTCGTTTCGCGAGAATTTGCGAAAAAAATGATTCGATCCGGTCATCCGGTTTACCCCGCCGATAGTTATTTATGCGAGAATCATGTAAATACGAACGAGTCGAATGTGGCACGTGAAACGGGCGAGGAAAGCGAGAAAGCGGTAAACTTTACCATAATAATTACACGCATCGGTCGCGCCTATTACGCATGCTTGTAATAGGTCGAGACGCGAAATAACTATAATTTACGTGTATCACCTTATTCCGTATGCCGAGTACGGTCGTAAAGTATTTGCGCACAGGCCCCGGGACCGTCGAAAATTATAATCAACCGCGAGTTATTTAAGTTGGCAATTTTATTTCGCTCCATCAACGGACGAGTCCTGCGGATATACGGAGGAATCACGGTTTCGGGATTCCATGGACCGGTGCCCGAGAGTCGACCAGAAGACAGCGGCGGTCTGCTCTATTATTAGCCGTAATGGGCCGGGAAAACTTTCATTAACTTGTCCGATGCCTAATTCATGAGACGAGGCCGCGATACCGCGCCTCTTTCTTCATCTTGATCCAGAGAAGAATTCGTATCCGATCGGAGAAACGGATTTTGATTTGGAAGAAAAGAAAGAAAGAAAGAGAAAAAAATTACTTTTAATAAACGATTCTTCTCCAATGTATAGTTGAGAAGTTAGAGAGAGAAGATCGGACGAGCAAATATATCTTTAATGGAAGATTATTTAGTTGTATTTTCGATGTTATATAAATACAAATATTATAAATACCATCGTAGGAAGGAAAAAAATTAATTAGATAAACTTTTAAACTGAGAGATCATATGAAGATCATATGAGATCATAGAAATTTTTTGTAAACTAAATGATATTGAATTGAAATATTATTTTGTTTGTTGTTCGAATATCATCTTTATCCTTATCAATGAAGTAATTACTAGTGCATTTATCAAAATATTAATTAATATTTTGATTTCTTGGTAAAATGTATATATTTATATTGATATTTGCAATTATCTATTTATCGTTTCGTCTTTTTCAAAATTAAAATCATATTGTTGTACGTATTCGCTTTAATATTTAAATATATGGTTAATAAAGTTTAAATTCAAACTTTTCTTTTCTGCCATCTATGGAGTATTAAAAGAACTATCTGAGAAACAGGAAATGAGTTGCATACTTTACCTACCGTCTCCATTTCCTGTTACCGACGCTCTTTTTCGTATCTGTTGTTTCCTTCCTTCCCTTGAATCGATGTAAACCGCTTGCCGTTGTCATAAACTAACTCTAGAATAAATTTATTATCCAATCGATTTTGATAAACGAAAAATATCGAAGGAAATAAAATAATAAAACTTTTATCAAAGTCTAACGCGCGTACTATACAATTTTTTGACCTTATCAATTTGACCTCTCAAATCTGTCAATGCAATGTATATCGAGTAGGAAAAAAATCATTCATTCGATATATCTGAACAGATAAATGATTATTAAAATATTATATTTAAATAAACAAGCTAAATGTAATACGTTCAATTCCTAAATATTCTAAGATTAATTAAATTAAGAAGATGACGATGAAAGAATATTAAATATCTCGTGAATTATTGATTATTTGCTTTCAAAAAGCATCGTTCATTTAAAAAGTTAACACCATTAGCTTCAATTTTGTGTCAAATCATTGTGTATAGAATGATTAATAAAATATATTTTTCCTTAACGTGTAAACGAATATTGATTAGATGTTTTCGATAAAGTAAAAGATATTTTAGATACAATAAGTTATTGTCGTGTCTATAATTCTATATTATTAATTAGTTATATAAACCATACATACATTTATCGTGAAATAAAGTAATTTTCTGTTTTGATGTAATGATATAATACCATTCAATGGAAATTTTGTAATATATTAGGTGATTCAGCAAATCTAGCATAATTTTTCTTAATTACTATTATTTATTTCTCTTATATATGCGATTAATATACGATTTAAAATTTTACAAGTTTTTTTAATAATGGAAAAGTCATGAAGTTACACTTTATAAGAAAACAAATATTATGTAAAAAATAAATAAGTAAAACAGATAAAAATATCATACATAAAATTAAAATAATATTATATAATAAACAAGAAAATAAAATATACAAATTGAGATATATATTATCTGAGATATATATTATAAAAGATAATTTGCGATAATACAATATTTAAATATTTATTAATTTATTATTTCATTTCTTGTAATAAATAAATATATTTAACATAGTGTAATAAATAGTATAATGTACTATAACATTTACATCTTATAATGATATATTATCTATAATGATAATATATTTCTGTGAAGTTAATCATTATTCAAATTAATGCAGATAATTATGCATATAATTTTAATAAAGTTTATCGAAGATCGAAAAATTGAAAAGAATGTTGATTAAATTAAAAAGAATTAATTATTAAAAGTATTAAAATATTATATTTAAATATATAATCTAAATATAATAAAATTAATTAAATATTGAATATAATAATATGTAAATGTAACAATAACGTTAAAAAAAATAAAATAAATTCATATAGTATAAATACGTATTCACCATGTTATGTTAAAAATGTGAATAGTGTCCTTCATTCCTACTGTGTCTATATAATAATCTTGTCTATGATATATATACAATATATTATTTAAATCTCAATTATTTTCTCAATTATCTTCTAAATTATTATCTAAATATATTTCAAATATAATTTCAATAAGAAGACGGCCAAACTAATTTGGTATAATATAATTTTTTGTAGATAAACTAGTAAAAAATTTTTTGAAGATTAATTTTATTTTTTTAATGAAAACATATTTTTAAATATATCAATAAATTTCCCAAAATTCAAGTTAAAATTTTGAATATTTAAAATCATTTTTATACATAAAATTACTCATTTTCGTCATCATTCACCATCTCTTAAATATTTTTTAAATAATTTTATAAACAAGAGAAACAAGCGAAATATTATGCAATGTTTTATAATTTTATCCGTAGATATGATATTTTTGGTCAATATTCGTTAATGTATTCGTTAATGCAACGAATTTAACCATTATCTTTTTCTTATCATGTTCAATATTTATATATAAAATATGTACGTATTATTATAATACAAAATTCAACAATTCGTTGAAATTCTTTGAAATTATATTATCAATTTTTTCCTTTTTGACGTACATTTATTTAATCAAATTATGATAATTTAATTAGCAATTTTAAACAAAATTAAATAATTTTTAATTTTGATAATAATAAATGATTTAAATAATAAATAATTTAAATGAAGATAAGTTAAATTATCTTATCGTAGAAGATGAAATATTTATATCAATTAATATAGCAAAAAATATAATTCTTATTTATTGGAAAAAGAAAAATTTTATTTCTAAAAAATTATTTCTATATATTTTTTAGATTGTTACTTATATCTAATGCGAGACGACTTGCTATTAATTCTTTATTATCAATGACATGCAAGAAAGAAAAAAAATAGAAAGGAACAGCTTAGAAGGAAACGTAGGCTACTAGATAACTAAGTATATACACTCCGTATATATAAGTATTTTTCGTTTGATGATGTTCAGTTCGAATCACGAAGCTCTTAAGATCAGAAGATATTTGTGGTGAAAATGTAATTTGACATTGACTTTGTTCTAGTGCTCATTTTCGAAAGTTTTGTTCTATACGAATTTATTTAATTTTATCATAAAGTGTGAAAAAAATTATTATTATTGTTAATTATTATTATTCAACTTTTTTTCTTTTGTTGCCTATTACTTCCTATTACAATTCGTTAATTCGTTAATATTTTACTTTTTATTTTCATTACACTTTTTTCCGTATCTATCTAAAATTCTTTTTTTTTCCATATTTGAATAATAATAAATATTATTTTTTATCTTCGTTCTTTTATCACTCGAAATATCAATCAATCTATCTATACATCTTAGCTCGATATCGATAATGTTATGATAATGTTTATTTTTTTAAATTGAATATATTTTCGTCTATCAATTTTCTTATTTATTTATTTGTTATGATTACTTTCCATTATTATTTTTTCTATCGATATCAAAATTTCCCAAACAAAAATTAATTCTTTTATAGATTCGTTCAAAATGACTCTTTTAACGCCATATTGGAGTCTGGATATCCTCATCGTTTCCTCGTCCTTGATGATAGCCGCCTATTTGTTCATGACTCGGAAATTCAAATATTGGTCGAGAAAAGGCGTTATGGAGATTACTCCTACACCCTTCTTTGGCAACTTTGCAGATTGCGTATTGTTAAAGAAATCACCTTCAGAATTTATAAGGGAGTTGTACGAACAAAGCGAAGGATTACCTTTCATGGGCTTTTATATTTTCGACAAACCGTTCCTCTTAATTCGTGATCCTGAACTCGTGAAACAAATCTTGGTGAAAGATTTTAATATATTTGCGAATAAACACGTGTCAGCTGATAGTAAAAATGATCGTATTGGATATTCAAATCTGTTCGTAATAAAGAATCCCGCATGGAAATATCTGAGAGGGAAACTTACGCCGATCTTTACCTCGGGCAAGCTAAAAAAAATGTTCGAACTAATGTTGATAATCGGTAAAAATCTGGAGAAACATCTGGAATCATTGAATTTGGATGGTAAATCGCATTTATTATTATGATCATCGTACGATCACAAAAATGTATTATGACAGATTATGATAGATAAATGTATTTTTCAGGCAATGGAAAAGAAATAGAAGTAAAGGATCTTTCTGCGAATTTCACCACTGATTTGATCGCTAGCACTGCGTTTGGAGTGGATTTGAATTCATTGAAGGATCCGAATGCCGATTTCCGTGTATATGGCAGATTGATCTTCGATTACAATATTAAGCGCGCCTTCGATTTCATTTTAATATTCTTCTTCCCTAATTTGACCAAATATTTCTCTATAAAATTTTTCGGAAAAGCGACAAACGCCCTCCGAAATACTTTTTGGAGAATGATCAACCAACGAATCGAATCGAATGTAAAAAGAAACGATCTTATCGATTGTCTGATCGAAATGAGAGAGAAACACAAGAATCAGGAAAGTTTCGAAGGTTTCAGTATGTATTTTTAACATTTTATTCATTAATATGCGATACGTAATAGGAAGCTAAAAAGGAGGAATTATGATTTCAGAATTCGATGGAGATGATTTAGTTTCTCAAGCGGCTGTCTTCTTCACCGGTGGATTCGAAACATCCTCCACTACCATATCTTTTACATTGTACGAATTGGCATTGAACCAAGACGTACAAAAAACTCTCAGAACTGAGATTCATGACGCTCTAGTGCAAACTGATGGAAAAATCACATATGATATGGTATGAACACTACCGATAATCATTCAAACAGCACATAATCAACATTTGATCTTTCAAGAAATTAATCCAATAAAAAAAAAAAAAAGTGTCAAAAGTCTCGATTATAAGACTGGATAATCTTAATTTTTCCAGATAATGAACTTACCGTATTTAGATATGGTAATATCGGAAACTCTTCGCAAATATCCACCTCTAGGATTCTTGGATCGAGTCGCTCTTCAGGATTACAAAATAGCCAATTCTGATGTGACGATAGAGAAAGGTACTCCTATATTCATTCCTATGATTGGTTTTCACTACGATCCTAAGTATTTTCCAAATCCAGAAAAATACGATCCTCTCAGATTTTCCGAGAATGTTAAAAGATCTAGGCCAAATTTCGTATACATACCTTTCGGCGAGGGACCTCATATTTGTATCGGTAAGTGTAATATTTTTTTTTTATTTATCTTTCGATACGTTTAATGTCGAACACTTGTATCATATTATTTATTATTTTATCCTTTAATATCCAAGAGAGGTAAAGTTTTTGAAATTTCGACATAATCAATCAAGTTTCGATCATATTTTCGCTCTATGCGAGAAATCCAACAAATTCTTCATTACGTTATCAATTTGAATAGTGAACTATGAACTATGTTCTATATTCTATATTTGAGAGCCAGATATATAAAACATACAAATATAAATAAAAAACATTTAGATAATAAATATTTACAAAGTCATGATAAAATCATATATAAATATTATCGATATCAATTAGTGCAAGATTTAACATTTTTTTTTATACGATTAGTTATAACCATTCAATTTGAAAAAATATAATATTTTATATATATATATATAATTCGTTTATACTTTGTCGATTAATCATGAACAAAAATATATTTATATATAATTATTTCCGTATTTTTGTTTATTTTTATATCATATTTGCGAATGAATGTTCAAGATACAAAATTGAATAATAAACTGGTATATTAAAAAAAAAAAAAAAAAAAAAAGTAATAAATATCGATTATATTATATCATCTTATTATTATTCTTTTTTTTTTTTACTTTAGGTATGCGATTAGGACTTTTACAATCGAAGCTTGGAATTATTGAAATATTGAAAAATTATGAAATTTTACCATGCGAGAAAACAAGAATCCCAATGGTTCTGAATCCCAAAGCACTCACAACAACAGCATTAGGAGGATTATACCTGAACATTCGAAAGATCACGACCGCGGCTGGTTAAATTCTTACCAATTGTAGAATATATTTAACTTTTCATTTATAATTATTCTAATATTTTTGATCAATTATTATTTTATTTTTAATAATTTTTATTTTTTAATGAATTTTAAAAAACTAAGCGTAATATTAGTTTTAAAAATTGTAAAGATCGACGATTATTCAAATGAAAATATTCAAATATATGAAATTTTAATTTATATATCATTAGGAGGAGAAGAAAATATAATATGTACGCAGGGAACAGAGTTGCGTTTGTTTCACTTACGCGGTCACGTATATGTATTTATTTCATTCACTTATTCTCATTTACAAAAGAGACTAACCGGCCGATCGTGGCCCGTGCGCATGTAACCGCTGTTTATCTTACAATTAAATCTCTGTAATATATTAGTACGACACCTTAGAGTTAAATTGGAATGGCGGATACCGTGCGGTATCCCGGCACCAAGTTTGAGCGCGTTTGTTCGAAAATGACATTCGACATTTACCCACAAATTAACCATGACTGGTTATGTACGGTCGGCACTACGTATAGAGAGAAACATCGAATATTAGTAGATTGTTGATTCCACGTTATTCCGACTCGAGAAGAGATAGAATCAATTGTACGAAATAATCTTTCGATTCCTGACAAAATTCTATTTACATCTCTCTCTCGGTTTATAAGAAAAATTATATAATTACTTCTTCGTAATTCTTCTCGGTTAATTGTCGAGTATTTTATGTAGATTCAGTATTCATTTTTATAATTTAATATTCAATGTTAATTTAAATACTTTTTTAATAATAATAATTAAAAGAGATGAATGAACAGGGAATCGTTATGTCATGGAATCTATCAATTATATTTATTCATACCGACCAAGCGCAGAATTGTGCGAATATATACGTTTTCTTTTATTTTTTTTTTTTTTTTTTTTTTTTTTTTTTCATTTGTTTATTGCAGACAAACAATACGATCGATCGTCATCGTCGAACAACGCACGAACATCGAGTGTACACGCCTCTGCAACGTGTTTGAATTTGTTCCACGATAGTTTTACACACATAATAACTATACAATTCGTCGTTTACAATATTTTGACTCGCCCGCGAGCTTAGTTGTTGTTTCACGTTCTTCGTTTTATAATTCTTTCTCGCCAGGTAAATACACATTATACATACATATATCTAGAATCATTTTTTGTTCGTCACATCGCTCATATATCTTGACCCGTTTTCTCTTCTTTTTCTTCTTCTTCTTCTTCTTCTTCTTGTTTTTCTTCTCCTCCTCCTTTTTCTTCTTCTTTTTTTTTTTATTATAATTATCGCTGTTTTTCTCTTTATGATAATTTTGCAAATCTACGTTCACTTGCGCGCCGTTTAAAATCTAACGTGGATTAGCGATACGACGTTGAATAGAAAATGTTTCGATTCGAAAATAATTTTCGAAAATTTTGAATTTTAATATCTTTCCCCAAATTTAAAATATTACGATGTAAGTAAATTACGCGGAAATTTAATAATTTAAAACATCTATCTAAACGCCATGAAAAGAGAAATAAATTACAAATAAATTTAATAATTTCATCGTCATCGTATTGCGTTATACGTATAAAAGAAACACATTATACAACGTATTACGTATATGTAACACGATGAATCGAGATATTTCAGTCGATATAAATTCAGTTGATTAAATCGTTTCATCGATCCTTATCCTAAAAATTAAAATAAATTAAAATAAAAGATAACATCTAAAAGATCGTATCAACGTGGCATCGCTAATTTGTACTTTAAACTTTAAAAATTTCGTCAAACGTTCAGTTCGATCGATAACTCGAATCTCTAAATTTTGGCCCCGTTTCTTCTCCTCTACCTCCTCTCTCGAAATCGGAGCAAACGCGCGTACACTTCAACCGTTCGGACTCGTTCGACCGAATTCCCGCCAATTTCTCCCAATTTTCGTCTCAACGAACGACAAGGATCGAGGAAATGATCCGGGCGCGGCACGATTCACAACATTGTCGCAAGGAACGTTGATTCCTTACACGCTAATTAACACTGCATTTCTCGCTGCGAGGATGGTGTGGAATGGAAACGACGAAACGAGGATTGCGCCAAGATATTGCGGCTATTCTCCCGGCTTATCCCAGAAAATTACACGCTATGGCCTAGTTTCGTTCACAATTTCCGATCGCGACACTCTACCATTCGTCCCTTCTTTCCGATGACCATCGGCAGGAGAAAACGTACGATCGATTACGATAATTGACGAGAATAATTGGGATACGAGGGATGCGCTACCTCGCCGCTCTACGATTAAACGATCAATCGACGAGTGAAAATCATCATCATCATCATCCTGACTGTGATTCATTGGATCATCGAGTTTCGTTCCATCTTCGCTTTCTCCTCCTCACGTCTCGATTAAAAAGATATTAAAATTCGGCTGACCGCGTTTTAATTCTCGAAAGTTATTCTCGCGTAACACTTCGACGATTCAACGAGGAGGTATAATTCGATTGTCGACACGGGGTGGTCCGAGAGTTTTTTTTCTTAGGAAAAATCCGATTATACCGATATGCGTACAATACGATTTATATATGTCTAGGAAGAGACAAATAAATATTGACAAAGGTCAGGCACAGATAGCGAGTGATAGAACGAAAAAAAGCATTTGATTTCTTTTCTTTTTTTCTTTGTCAGTCGTTGATTATCAAACGAATCGAAATCGATCGATGTTCTTCGATCGATTCGGATGTAGATACGGATTTGCGGATTTCGTTTGGTATCAGTTTGTTGTTCAAGATCAAATACTTTTTCTGCCTCGTATCACTGAGAGTTTGATTAATAATTTACATTATAGCCTGCATGCAACGTTGGCATTATTGATTCAACGTGGCAACGAACACACTCGTCTCTATATATCCTGTCCCTGTATTTGCCTACTACGTGGACCACAATAAGCTATTTCGACGACGAAATGGAAGATTGACGATGGATTCGCGATTCTTGGCCGCCGTGGGAAGAGATTTAACAATCGACAAACGAACTTTCGAATGGATCGTTACGTTAATTATAAATCAATTCGTTCATCGAACGAATCTCTTCTCGCGGCTTCTCGTTAGGGAAGAAGAATTCGAACGAGCATTACGCCGAATACAGAGGATCGCCGATCGGGTGGACAGTATACAGGGTTTATATCTTTCTGTTGTTTCTACGATCGTTGTAGAAAAATGTAGAAGGATGTTCCTCTTCGAAAAAACCGGTTTTTTTTTTCTTTTCTTTTTTCTTTTTTTGGGGGAGGGGAGGGGAGGGGGAGATGAAGACAATAACGTAAGACTAGACTTCAACAATACATGCGGTTCTTCATCGCCGTAGAGACACATTGCTGGTGGAGTATAAAAATATAAACATCTAAAAATGAAGAAGCGAGACGTCGTTTAAAGACGCGGAAAAATAATTTTTGCGTCGAGCGTGAAAACGCGTGCATCACGAGGGTTCTTTTTTTTTTTTCCTACGTTGTACCGTTTATCCATTTACCATTTAGCCGATTTGTCTCTTTTATTTCGCTTTTTTAATCCTCGTTCTAAACGCGTTCGAAAATAGACCAAGAGTGTATTTCTTTGTCGATCCATTATATAAATTTAGCGATTATTGATAGATGAGATAACGTGATCGCTATAAAAAATAAATAGAGTATATTCGTTGACTATTGTTAAAAGAATTAAAATAATCGTTAGATCAAAAGATTCCACCGATTTTACAACAATTTTTCGATGAGAATACACGCGTTTATATAATATTTTTTAAATCATAGGAAGACATTTTTTTTTTCAACGAGGAAACAACATTTATTTAACATTCATCTAAATTTTTGACAGATCAACAAAATCGTTTTTTTCATGCGAATGATTGCCTCGAAATAATTGGAATCGATTGATTTCGTCTCTTTCCCCGCGACGTTCGAGATAAACACGAAATTATTTCCTTTTTCCTCTCTCTCTCTCTCTCTCTCTCTCTCTCTCTCTCTCTCTCTCTCTCTCTCTCTTTTTCTCTTTCTGCTTTCTTTTCTTCCGTTCCTTTTAATTTTTTTTTTTCCGTGACAGAGGAAATTTTATCTTTTCAAACGGGGGATAAATTTTTAATTCTAATTCAACGCGACACATCCGTCTTGATTCTTTTCATTTCACTATCTATATACGTTGAACTCTTTTTCCATTACAGTAGACCTGCTTTTTCGTACGAGAGAGAGATTCTTTTCTTTATGTATTTTTTATAATATATATATATATATATATATATACGTTATGTTCTCGTCTCGATGGGAATCGCATATCTTTCTTTTCACATCTTTGTATACATTGCGTTTTGCATATATTTTATGTATATATATATAATAACGAACAACATTAATGATTACTCATTAGGCTATTCTTTTTTTAATTGGACAATAAATAAAATAGTTTATATAGCGCGCCTTTTTCTTCTTCTTCTTCTTCTTCTTCTTCTTTCAGGCCGTCCATTTTCGTTTCTTCCTCGCTTCGATTTTTTTTTTTTTTTTTCAATATCATTTTTTGTTTCAATCTCTATGCCAGTTCGAACCGCTCGATCTCGACAAATTATTATATTTCATCGTACGCGATATTTTCTTTTCTACCTTTCTCTCCCTCTCTTTCACTCCTATTCACAGTCTCTCCTCTCGCTCTCTCCCGCTCTTTCATTCAACTCTGCTCTCGGAACGGAGATCGATAATTAGGAGCAATATACATATATTTGGTATTGGCCAGCTGTTCGACAGTTTGGCTTCGATACGAACGTTAATTACACTCACACATTCTCTGGCTACATTTGGAAACAGCTAATCGACTTACTATACGCAGACGTACTATAAGACGTACTATTTTTTCCCCTTTAAATCGCGCTTAATCGATCCTCGCGAACTTATCTATCTTCCTTTCTCTCACAATTTCCAAAAGATAATCATCCCGAATCATCCGTGAGGCGACGCGACGGGATACAATCGGATCGAATGGCGCGAATGTTCCTCTTTGCCTCCGCGATCCGATCCGGCGATTATCCAATCGCTTTTCGAGTTCCACGCGAAAAATTCGGCCAACTCTTGTGACGCGTTTCAATTGTAAACGCAGATCCAGATCGATCGCAGAGAAGATGGTCGCACAGAGGAGATTTTCCAATCGTTGGCCGAGAATCGATCGGAGAGAAAAGGTTGGTCGGATTTGATCTCCGTTTGCTCTCGATAAATGTCCGACGCTCGAGATCGAGTCGAGATAGTAATCGAGTTTCTTGTTCGGCCAACGAGGGAGAGACGCGGATCCGACTCCGGATCGGGTCGAGTGGATCGCTTCGATCCTCGACGCGCTTCCGTGTCCAACGCGCTCGTTGCGTCTCCTTCCCCACATCTTCTTCTCGATCCTCAGCGATTCGTCAACGATCTTTGGCTCCTCCGTCTCCTCGGCTCGTTCCGAGCCCACGAAACGAAACGCGTTTCAACCGCTGCAGCAGAAGATATTCTCGGCCAGCCACCTGTGCAGGCCCGACAATTGTTTCTCGGAAGAGTCCTCGACCAATCGTAGACCGTATCACTTGATCTCCTCTCGACTCGGCGAACGCGGGGGATGGGAGGAGGAGAAGGGTGGCGGTTCCGAGGCCACCTGCTGCCTCTTCGGCCGAAAGCTGGCCGTCAACGAGGAGATCCAACCGCTCGGGGATTGCGAGCTCTGGTCGTGCAACGAGTCGCTGTTGCTGTTGCTCCTCGTGCTGTCCATGCTCATCCCGGACTTGAACCGCGACAACAGGCCGGGAGAAGATTTCTTCGACGCGGTAGTCGGCGAGGAGCACGCGGCCTTCTTTCCAGATTTCGACGAATCCTTGTACAGCATCGAGTCCAAACTGCCCGCGTGGGGACGCTCCTCGCTCGCTTTCTTTGGCTCCAACGAACCGAGCATCGCGCTCTCCGCCTGCTTCGCCATCTTCGATATATCCTCCATACTCGCCGAGCTTCTTCTGATCTCCACCTTGCTTTCCACGTCCTCGCTTTCCACGACCTCTCTCGACCCATACTCGACCCCCTTCACGATTATCTCCGGCTGATGGTGGTGGTGGTGGTGGTGGTGGCGATGGTGGTGACGATTGTGGTGTTCTTGCTGCTTCTTCGTGCGCACGTCGATCTCCGCGAACTCCATGTCCAAACTCTTCCGATCCTTGACCGTTTTCAGGCTTGCGTGCGACTTGCCCTCCGGATTCGAGGAATTCCGCCGATGTTTCGACAAGGACGCGTCGGAAACGGCGGCGGGCAAAGCCTCCAACGAGGCGGACGAACGTTTCTCCTTGGCGAACACCGTCCTCCAACTTTTGTTCTTGCAATCGGCCGACTTTCTCACTTTCGGCAACGTCATCGCCCGTTTCTCCATCGGGGACAATTCCACCATCGTCGCGACACCACCACCACCACCACCACCACCACCACCACCACCACCACCACCACCACCACCTTTGCTCTCCTTCAACGAGCTCTTGGCCAGATTGCACCGCTTGCAAACCGTCACGGAGTTGTTGCACTGGGTGGGCTGGGTGGACGAGGTTGCGGTTATCGAGTTGCTCTTGTTCAACGTTTTGTTGGTGGCCGCGGCGTGTTTAGCCGGCTTGGGCGTGGGCGGATCCTTCGTCGAGTCGAAGCTGATGCTCAACCGATCCGTGAAGTTCCTCAATCTCGAGAAGATGGATTTGTGATTGTTGGAACCGGTTTTGTCCTCGCAGCAGCACCGCGACCCGACCACCGACCCCCTCCGAACCTCTTTCGAACCGTTTCCGGGCCTCTCCTCGCCCTCCTCTCCCACCGAGCTGCCCGCCCTCCTCGAGCCGTTTCTCCCCCGTCCCTCCGCCTCCACCACCGCGTTACCGTTACCCTCCACCACCACCGTAGCCGCCCTTCGCTCCCTCGATCTCGCGTCGTCCAACTCCCGAACGCCCTCGTCCGCCCTCTCCAACTCCTCCGAGATCCTCGTCTCCTCCGCGGACCAACCGCTGGCGGGCGAGCTCAGATCGCTGCCGAGGCTCTCTCCCTTACCGCCTCGCTTTCTTTCGCTTCGCTCGTGCTCCCTCACAGCCCTGGCCAGGTCGTGATTATGATAATCCAGTGACGATTTCTCCCGGCTACCCTTCCGGCTACCCGGGTAGCTTTTCCTACCTGTTCCAGCCCCGGACAGCGTCCCCTCCGTCGAGATCTTGAACTTCAACGTTTTCTCGCTCACCTCCACCTCGGTCGCCGTTTCCGGATCCGAGCTCTCCACGTTCTCCGCGTCCTCCCCCGTCAAGTTCTCCGTCACGTCCTCGTCGGTGGAACGCGACCGCGACCGAATCGTCCCCGCCGACCGTTTCGACCGCATGCTGTGCGACGAGCTCGACTTCACCACGCTCGACGCCCCCCCGCCGCCGCCGCCACCACCCCCGCCCCCGCCGCCCGCCGTGCCCGCCGACGTCGATTCCCCGACATCCGCCACGCTCTTTCGATGATGCCGCTCGTCCTTCGCCGCCTCGTTCAATCTTCGATAATACTCCAACGCCTCCCTCACCGGCTCCACTATCAGGCCCTAGAAACCGATATTACCACGTTTGCAATTTTCCTCCGCTCGTTTCCAATCTACCTACCCCCGTTCGAATTCTCTTTCGTTTTCTCGAAGGAGAGCGCGGCGAACGAGACTACGATACCTGCAGCTCTGGAAACAGTTCCCCCAGGGCCTCGAAAAGAGGGAGCAAGACGAGACCGATGAAGCTCACTTGGGACGAGGGTTTGGTCACTTTGTCGCGATCCATGAACGGTGTAACCGGTAACCCTTCCAGCTTCTCTGCGTCGCTCTGCTTGAAGAATTCCTGGAGTAGCCTGTCCAACCACGGTTCCGCGACTTCCATAGGCCGAGCTTCGTTGCTGATGTCCGCCACTTTGATGAGAATCATCGACAACTGAAATCAACAGTCACGGCGTAGACGTTCGATTCGACGAGGATTTTTTAAAACGCCCTTCCCCCCCCCCCCCCCCCTTTAAGCGTGGCGACAACTTACAAGATTGATATGAGCCTTGCTCGAATAATCGAATTCCGGGATGATGTCGGTGAATTGGCCGAGAATCTCGTTGTGTCTGGCCATGTCCGTGGCAAGAATACATCTGATGATACCTTCGCGTACCACCCTATACGTCGGATTGTCCAACGACGCCAGTATGTTGCATTCCGGGGCTTCGAGGACGCGAAACGCAACGGAGCAATGATGATTCTCCAGTGGCGAAATATCGTTGTAACGGAGCGCCAACTCGGTACGGGCGTTTATCTGGTAAATGTTGTTGTATCCTGGATGATCCAAGTCGTGGCAGATGCAGGAGACGATCAATATAAAAACCTCCAGATCACCGATTCGCGACGGTAGATCCACCGCCCAAGATATCGCGTACATCTGCAACGGAATATCTTTCCTTAATGTTATTCTCCTTTCCTATTTTCGATATATTTTTTCTTCTCCCTCGTGAATTTCCACGAAAATTTAATCATACATCGCGAAACGAGAAATTAATAATTTTAACATCGTATTTATATCGTCCCTGTCTTCAATACTCGTTAGATGTAAATAATTCGTGCATCGTTTTGACAGGAATTTACCTATATATACATATATATATATGTATATATGTATATATGTATATATATACTTGCCATTTGCGCCACGCAGAAACAGTGCCTGAAGTTATGAAACGGCACTTCGTTATAATTGTTGTAAACTTCGTAGAGGAAATTCCTCAGGATTGGTAAAGGAATGTTAAACTTTTGAGGTAGGTCCAGCTCGACGAACATGGTTTGCAGCATAAGGAGAAGCTCTTCGTCCTCCCATTGCCGGGCATCGAAAGCCGGTGAACGTAGCCACTCCCGAACGCTCGACGATATCGATACGTCGCTACAAACACAATCACAAGATATTAATTCCCTCGTTTTGCGAAACTGCAAACTCGGACACCTTGCCTCGATAATTTATTTCTTATCGTCCAAATGAATCGATCGTCGTTATTCTACGGCAAAGTTCGATAATTGGTGGTGTCAAATGTAACTAGTTGACGAACAAAGGTTTCAAATGTTAGGTAGTGAAATATCACGTATCAAATAATTTCACGCTTACGATACGATACGATCAAACGAAACGATATCGCGTTGTAAATTCCATAGATTCCTCCTCCTCCTCCTTCTCCTCTCCCTTTCCCTCCTTAAAGATATCAAGTTCGCTTCGAGATCGTAAGCACTATTTCTCTGATTCGGATGAAATTAGTCAAATTAATATGTCATTTCGGCGTAGAGCGCCGGTCGACCGGGTATTTAGTACTTTGCGCAATAATGGGTTATCCGCTTATTGAACTAAATCAACATGGAGCGTGGACCTACACGACGGATTGGAATTACATTAGGGATGTATCGATTTGTCGACGCGGCGTATAACATACGATTACGATTAATACGTTACGATATGCATTATGGGTAACACGCGTTCAAAAATCGATGAAATATCGAGTGTTTATTGAAGGCAGCAAACGGTGTATCCTTCTTTCTTTTTTTTTTTTCTTTATGGAATGAGAAAGAACCGTTGTTGTAAATTACAGAAAGAACGGATGGAGACGATCGCGTAGATGGGCGGAAAAAATATTTCTCGATCTCGTGTGAAACAATTTCGTTTATTCACGCTCGCGACATTAGTGTGACATCTATTTGTAAAAATTTGTATTGTTCGTCTTAAAAGATTTACCTTGCCTCGTTGGAAATCAATTTCCATCAACCGAGAAGATTTTCATCATTCCATTCAGAAGATTTCACGAATTCAAATCGCATCTCTAAATACAATTAGCCCGTTTTACGTGGGAGTCGATGTGTCGAGATCGAGGCATGATCAAGGAGATTAAGCAGAAGCGTGTGTACCGAAGACCGCTAATTGGCAATCCGCATTTAGCTCGCGCATCAAATCACGGTACGCGATAATGTTCGCTTTGTGACGCTCCCTATTATAACCCGCCAATACCAGGTTATTATAGAGATAACGGTAGCTTAATGGCATTTCGCGGTAACGTTACGGAGCTTGCTACCATCGCGGACCGTTCCAACCATTCGTTCCAATCGGACAAGTCGCGAACAATTCAATCCTCGAATTTCCCGTGTTTCGTCTGATCGGAGAACGATTCCTTGCCCACGATTTTCATCCAATATTTTTTATCTTCCTCTTAAACGGAACCCAAGTATTTTTCCTTTCATTGAACGAAATTTGTATTTCTTTTTTTTTTTTTTTTTGACAAAAATTGCGTATTCCGTTTCCATCAAACGATATTGAAATTTTCGTTCCCGTTTAGTTCGAAAGAAAATCGGCTAAGGTAAAATAGAGAGAGTCAGAGGTCGAATCATTCTATTATCTTATAATAGTTCGATTCGATGAACATTGATCGGGTACTGATCGAAGGAAAAAAAAAAACGATTATTATAAGATTATTAAGCGAACGTTATTGATAATTTTAATAATTCGAACTTGAACCGAACTTTCGAAACGATATTTTCGTACGATTTCCGCGAACGGCGATTCGCTACATTTGCATTACGTTCCATGTGTATTTGTTCGTTTAACGTTTCGTACACCCGACACGTTTGCTCCGGTTTATTTGCCCTGTTTCCGCGCGAAAATCGATTCTAGTTTGTTTTTTGCGAGCATTTTTTTCCCCCTCCGCGGAAAAAGGAAACATTCGCGAAATAATAATCGAATATACGTTCGTATTACGCGTAATAAAATTTCTCCCGCGGAAAATATTGGTGACGATTATTTCGATGATCGAAAGAAGGAAACGAAATTAAACGAGGCGAGAAAGAGAGAGAGAGAGAGAGAGAGAGAAAAAAAAAGATTGAATCGAAAGGGGAATAAATTCGAAGTGAGTGAGAGAAATCTCGGTTCTGTACGCGAAACATTCGTTAACGGGATGCGCGTGATTTATGAATGAAAATTAAAAGTAAATAAAACGCGTATAAAACACGTCCATGCATATTTATGGGTCTTTCGATGATGTTGATGCGAATATCGAATAAATTTGATCTTTTCGATCGCTATTATGGGATTGTGTAAATCGTTATTTACGAACGGGTTATAATATCGGCGCGAATCCGATTGTATCCGACAATTTAAAAAAAAAAGAACAAAAAAAAAATCACCTCTCCTCGAACGAAATTGATCGAGAAACGTTCAAAAACGAGCAAATATTTTCGTTCGAAAATCAGGAATAAAAACAGGATTCGGAGAATCTCGTTTTGTTCGAAGCGTGAAACGCGAATCCCCGGCGGGCGAAGCCTTTAAGATCCGCCTCGAAAATTCAATTTGCTCCCGTAATTTCGGCGTAATCTTGACGAAAATCTCACGGGCCGTGAACTTAATCGCTCATGAAACGATCTCGAACGTGTTGCTCGTGCTGCATCGCGAGATCTTCGCAATGTGAATACATAAAGAACGGGACAATGGAACGACGCATTTCAATGAAACGTGCCTTCGTGTCACGACACGAACGATCCGTGGAGAGCAATTTTAATTCGCTTCCATATAAAATATCAAATTATTCTTCGAGAAAAAAAGAAAAATGTTTTTTAACTTTAAAAATTTTCCGACAAATCAACAATGAAAAAGTTACGTAGCTTTAAACGCGTCCGATATTATTATACTTTTATCACGAATATTATATTTTTATTAAAAGTAGAGAGAAAAAGAGAGAGAGAGAAGTTGAATGAAACGATTCGTTTAACGTGAAAATAATTACATAAAGTTAAGAATTTGATCAACCTTTTTCGTTATTGTTCGAACTTATAAACAGTTTTTCATAAATTTAACTCGTCGTTAAAGAGAAAATAAATAAAAACGAGAGAGAGAGAGACAGAGAGAGAGAGAGAATAACGAAAGTGACATAAAATGTAATGAATAGAGATTACCACGCTTCTTTGAAATTATTTTTTCATACGATCTATTTGTTATACATGAACGCGTGAAAAAACTTTAAAAATGGATTCGTTGAATTTTCAATTTAAAAAAAAAAATGTTTTCTCTATTAAAAAAGAGAGTGAGAAAGAGAGAGAGAGAGAGAAAGGAACTAGCACTATCGAATCTCCGACATCCGGAAAAATTCCAATTTAAACCATCAAAATTCCTCCAACTTCAAATGGAAATGAATCAGCAATGGAACGCGCTACAATCGCATCGAAATTCGATCTTTCGGCTGGATAATCTTCTTCTGAAAGCCTGAAGCTCACTATTCACACGGAAAGATACTAACATCGGTGTAAACACATGAACGAGTCGATCGAATGGTCGTGGAACAGAAGGCACATAGATCATCCGATAGATCGGCACGTCTAGATCGTCTAGATCGATGTCGGCCAGTCGACAGTGAATGAGAAATGCGATGAATATGTTTTCAAGGGATCTCGACTGCGTTTAATCGTCCAGATATTCTCTATTTTATTAAAGAATCTCTCAATTCTTCTGTTCCTCGTCAGGTTTAACCAAAAACCTGTCTTTTATTTTTTAATTTAAAAATAGAAATTTCGCGTTAGAATTATTTTCAAAATTATTTTCGTATTTAATAAAAAAGTTGCAAAAATTTCCATTTCGTTTCGCTTTTGGAAAATTTTATCGATCTGGACTAATGGATTCTTAAATTCATATAAATATTTGTTCGAAAACTATTTGTAACCGAGATCACCTTTCTGGAAAAAATATTTCCACGACGAAATTGTTAAGAAAATTCAAAGAAAATTAATTTCTCACGTTTCCATTCTACGTTTCGTTCACAATTAAATATGAATATTCCTTCTCTTTGTTATACGATGATGACCGGTTAGATAAAAGGCATGCCTACTCTTATTAACATAATCACGTTTTTTAATTATTTAAACGGTCGAATGACTTTTTGTGAGAATTTTTAATATTCCTAAAGAGAATAACATTTTTGAATTGTATTCCAACAAATACACAAATTTCTCTTTCGTTTCATTCTTCATTTATTTTTTTCCCTCGAATGAATGAAACAAGATTTTCTTTAAACATTTTTCATTCACCTTGCGAAATATAAATTATGCAATAATCCCTCCTTGTACCGTGATGTTGAAAATTGAACTCATCTCGAATATTTTGCGCTCGCTTTTTCCTTCTCTTCGCCTTGATCGACTTCTCTCTTCGTCACACTCGTAGCAACTTGATAAAAATTACAAACAGTGAAAATATTACGCGATTCCATCTTCCCGCTTCTCTCCTCTTTCATCCGCCCATGATTCAGGGAACGCAACGATTCAAAGGGACGAGAACTTCCTCCTCCATCTTCTTTTTTCGTTGTTTCTTTTTTTTTTTTTTTTTTCACTCGCCATCCGTTCAAAATTTCACCACCGTTCTTCTCCTCCTTTGCCTCCAAGAAAAAGCAATATCCTGCCGATCAACTCGATAAAGTCTCGCGGATAAGTGAATGAATAATCTCGCGACAACGTATCCCTTTTGCCCCTCGTGAACTTGTTAAATAAAATTCTCGATCGACGAAGGGGGCGATCGCTTGATTTATTATTAAACTTCGTGCTAAGAAGGTGGCTCGCGTGTACCAAGCGTTCAAATAGAAACGGCTGATTTATAATCTTCTCGAATATAGCTGTTCCTACTATTAACCACGTATACGAACCAAGTTATGAGGCGATTCTTTCTTTCTTTCTTTCTTTCTTTATCGACTAAGTTTGATGTAGTGCCATAGGCGTGTGAGTTTTACGAGTGAGTTCACTTTAAAGGATTAAACGGGTTTTTCGTAATTGTACACAGAATCGGTAACGTCGCTCTCTCGCCACAATTTTTTTACCATTTGCCGTGTATAAACAATAGTGTAGCATTATCGGAAAAAGCTACAATACATT